TACTATGAATAACCACTAAGAAGATAACAATATGCAATGTATTAATTATTGAAACTGTCCTACTAATCAGTTTTGAAACTGTCTCATTGCTATCTGTTTCTCAATAAAAGTAATAAAAAAGAGGAAGAAAAAGAAAAAAAAAGAAATGAACAACCATTTTGTATCAGTATACTCAAAATAGTTAGGATAGATACACAGTTCCATTCGCTTAATTCAATTTATAGAGATGTTTCTTGCCATAATGCTTGTGAGAGGATGTCATGTCTGCATCTTGTACAATGAATAACCACTAAGACAACAATATGCAATGTATTAATTATTCAAAATGTGCCAGCAATCGGTTGTAAAACTGTCTCATTGCTATTATGTTTCTCAATAAAACTATTTTTTTAAAAAAGTTAGCTTTATTCAGAGTCCTAGTCCAGGCCAGGTGAGTGTGTGGGAGAGCTTCCAGCTACCCTGTGCCGGCAACACCTGCCGGCCCAAGCCCAGGTTCACCATGGGTGAGACCCTCTTCCACCCCCTTGGGACCCTCCCCAACCACACCACAACACCCCCTAACCCTGGCTGTCCAGTAAGAATCCCTTTCTCATTCTGTAGATCCAGACCTAGCCCAGGGCCGGTGAGTGTGTGGGAGAGGTTCTTCTCCCTGCTACTCCAACTTGGCCCCTCCAGACTCAGTTCAGGCCTGGCATACAGGCCTGTGGTGAAACCCTGCAGCTGCAACCCCTGCAGAGAGAATAGGGGACAGACCCACCCAGCTAGTCCAGGAGCAGAACATCTTGCAAGCGGGGCACAACAGGTTCACTCCCAAAGGAGGTAGAAGGAAGGAGCTGAGCACAGAGCCAGACCCAATCCAGGAACAGCAGGATAAATCCAAACTTTGTAGATCTGCTGCTGAATTTCAGTAGGTGCTAAGGTTATAACTGCACCAAAGATTTACACCAAAGGTCAGAAGACAGTGCTACACAAAATGACAACGAGAAAGAGGAAAATGCAATCTCAGAACCCAAGACCACCGATAACAAGTGCAAAGGACACTGACACAGAACAAATTGGGAATCACACAGATAAAATCAATGAATCAACAGCTTCTGAAATAAAGAAATAACTGCAGAAAGGTATGAAGGAACTCAGATCGGAAATGAAAAAAGAATGCCTGAATTAATAGCATCTGCAGTAAAGAATCAAATGCAAAAACATATAGAGGAAACCCAATACCCACCCAGAACAAGTGCAGAGCACACTATCTCAGCTCAAATGTATGAATTAATAGCATTGATAATAAATAAGCAACAGCAGAAAGTTATTGAGGAACTCAGAGCAGAATTTTTTATGAAATAAAAAAAGAATTCTCTGAACTCATAGCATCTGAAATAAAGAATCAACTACAGAAACATAGGGGAGAAACCCAATCTGAAAAAAGCACTGTAGAAAAAGAATTAATAACTGCTACTAAAGGAGACATCGATTAAAAAAAATAGAGATTAGAAATGTGACGGATTCCTTGAATGAGCAATACAGGAAAGAAATACATCACATAAAGCAGAGTCAAAGAGATATACAGGAACTTAAAGTCTCAATCACAAGCTTGCAAAACCTTTTGAGTGAAAGTAAAGACACAGTTCCAGATCTTAAGATGCTGGGGCAGCTAGTTAAAAGGTAAGAATCTTTTCTTAAAAACAACTAGGATCTCTTAAAAACAACTAGCATGCAGGAAAAAATAATTCATCACTTGCAAGACGATGAAAACATGAAAAATGTGAGACTAATAAGTATCAATGAGAAAGAAATAGTCAATACAAATGACATTTAAAAATATGGGCAGAAGTAATAGCAGAAAACTTCCCAAATATGAAGAAACAATCTGACATTCAGGTAACTGAAGCATATAGAACAGCAAGTAACTTCAACCCAGTAAAAAACACACTGAGACACATAATAGTCAAGATCCCAGAAATCCAGCACAACAATAATATACTGAAAGCCTCTAGAGAAAAGAAGCAGATCACATTCAAAGGAAAAACATCAGAATTACAGCCCACTTCTCTTCACAAACCATGAAGGCAAGAAGAGGATGGAGGAGAGTACTTCAAGTCCTCTATGAAAACAAATTCCAGCTCAAACTACGATACCCTGCAAAACTTTCTTTCAAGTTTGATGGAGAAGTGAAATACCTCCATGACAAAGAACAACTAAAGAATTTCATGATGACAAAGCCAACCCTACACAGGTTACTGAAATATGTTCTACAGAGGGACCAAAATGATCAGAAGTCCGTGAATGAGATCAGAAGCAACCAACTAAATAGGACAAACAATAAAACACAGGAGAGATGGTAATTTGCAATAGTGGTTTCATATTGGGAGTGCCTGTCATTGTGGTATTCTGAACACGGGCGGCTTGTCATGACATGCCAGTTGCTGCTAAGATGTCTCTTGGGTAGGTGGATGTTCAAGAAGAAGGGGGTGGTGAATGAAAGCAAGAGACAGGAAAAGGAATA